ACTGTCTGACGCGTCTGCCTCCGCGACCCGAAAGGAGAAGCGGCGATGGAAGATGAAGATGAAGATGTTTGCTGCAACATTGTCGTACAGGACATTACACCAAGTTATACAGTACTTCACCTGTTGCTTCTAGAGGCTACAGCTGCGTGGCATATGAGCTCTTGCATTGCGTGGAATCCAGTAGCTCTTCTCTGAGTTTAGCTGTGCAAAGACGGATTATGGTTCTAGCAAAATACATGCTCATAGCATAACAGTATTCTATTATAGAATAGTTTGCAGACAACTACGTACAACTGATTTGCGCCAGTGCTGCTGTTAATTTGACCCCTGTATACGCGACAACAACAAAAAGATAATTTGTTTTCGGAGTCGAAGCTTTGAATTTGTATTAATTAGTAGCATTGTAGACTGTTTATGTTAAAGCTTTGTTCGAAGTTAATTAGCTTCTCTTTAAGATTTGCAGTCACGTGATCGAGTTCATGGACAACTTACCCATCTGCTTAACTTTGATATCCAGGACAACCATGATGAAGCGACGATTGGTGCGTTCTACATCTGCGAGCTTTGTTCTTTGGTAAGCTTGCCGTGTGTTTTTATCTTGTTTGACTTTTGGTCTTGTGTTACCTTCGTGAGTACATCATCGCAGAGATTGTTGTTGGTCATTGTTTGCTCATTTGTTATGTACATGTTCCCAGAACATGTGAAGAGGGCAGGACACAATTTTTGCTCTGATATTTTCACGTATTTTGCGAAAAGTCACCCTAACAGTTGTATTACAGTAATCACTGGCAGCTAAACATGGTTTGCTGCATTTCCGATGAATTTCTGTATGCCTATGTATGCTAATCATTGTCTCGCAAAATTCTTTAAGATGACGTCATCATTTATATTCATATGGATACTTGACACGGAATTGATTCATCCATCAGTTACATAGTAAAGTCTTTAACGCGGGACCAAGGTTTCTGCTGATATTACCGGTGTTATAATTATCATGTATGCGTGGTTGGACAATACGGTTGTTTTGGCAGCGAATTTTGGTACACTTGCTGAGTCTGTCGAAGTTAAACGGGAGAGTTTTCTTTTGAGGGATGTTGCTATATTTTCTGTAGGAACGGTGGTCATTTACAAAATTTATTTCAAAGTTTTGTACGTAAACACCTGTATACAAAGCAAGAATTCACTCAGAAAATGCAAACGTTGTTACGAAGATCCGTGGACATTCGCAGGGAGGTTCGACTGCTTATGATAGGTTGTAGAAATTGTTGCCACTGTCAAAAATCATGCCAAGACGCTTTTGATTTAGAAGAAACGAAATGAACGCCATTTCAAAAGCTCTATCTCTACAATCACTCGATACGTCTAGTTGAATTTTATCGAATTTACGCGTTTCAGTTGAGCACATTCTTACAGTTTATAATTGCAAACAATACCTGCATCAAGTCGAGTGTTAACTTTTGTTCTAACGGAATGTACAAATTTTTCAGCGGAAATCAAAAACATTGTTTAAAGACCAATTATTTCTACTTCTCAAGATTCGTTTCTCAAATCAATGATTAATTTTTGAGTTGTTATTGCTTTGTATACTTTTCTACCTTGTCTAATGCGGTTTCACAAGTTTCTTTGCTCTGCAACGATCACGAACAAAATCATCGTCGTCATTTATTGTAATTCGTTATTGTAATAGTCCTTCCATGCTATTGTCACAGGTTACTGTGAGCCGTTCCCGGGGTCATCGGCCAATTGGTTGAGTAAATTGTTGCTGTTCCTCCTTTCCGTTCTGAAGGCATTTTCAAAACATACCCAGACCATCTCTGTTGTGACTTCTCGTCTCAGTCTGGGAAAGCAACGGCTGTTCACTAGAGCTCCCTAAGATATCTATAGTTAGGTCCATGTCGACACGCATCAGCCCAGCGATTCGTCTCAGAAAGTTATTTCAGCCGCTTTTACCTGAGCATGATTGAAGTTTTTCATTCATGACCCATGAAAACTAAGATCGGCTTAAACACTGAGAGCTTAATCTTCATGTTTAGCTCTGCTTCAGTTCAGAGTAGTTAAAAGTATTTCCTATTCGTTTTCCACGTCTGTATATTGTTTTTCTTGATTGCGCATTAGTGCAACAAAGTCTGACTTCAAACAGATTCTGTCAGAGCTCGGCTTTAAACCTAGTGTCATGAATTAGGGAGTTGATGCAGATGATGAATAACAGGTCTGTATAACATTTCTATTCTTGCCTGTACCCATATGAAGTTTGAACGAGTCATACCATGTAGAAAGCGTGCTTGCTTTGTAAGTTAAGTATAAATTCAAGTTACAGTGAAATTTCCAATTAAAAAATCAAATTTGCCTGTTTAATTAGGTATCATATAGGTGCAAATTCTCGTATGTGAGGTTTTAGTAAGTTGTTACCGCTTACCGAACGATTGGATTTGATTGTCCTAGTATATTCCATTTAATCAATGTTTACAACGAGCCTTGAACCTTTCAGACCTTGAACTTTAGCCGCTTCCTTTGCTGCTGCGGCATGACGTACCGTTTCCATGTAATGTACTCTAAAAGTACTTGGCGTACTGTTTTCACTACGTGACCTGTCGCATCGCGAGTACGAATGTTTTTATGCAGTTGCGTAATAACGTAGGTTTCAAACTTTTCAGCTTCAGCAGGCTGACGACCTGGATTGTGAAATCGGTAAAATCGTTCTCGACTTTGAATCAAAATGTGATCGGGACATCATGCACCTCGCTGTCATTTGTTGATTATCGCCGTTGTTTGTTTTTTCCTGACTTCGCCGTCGGTTTGTTATTTTGTTATTTGCCGCGGAGTTGTTTCTGTTGCCACTTCCTGATATGGTAACAGTTTCTTTTGGAAAACGATTGTTTTGTTTGGAAATTATTTCTTTTATTACATTATGTCAGTATTGCTGCGTTTCATTAGACTACGCAATTTTTCAAACGCTACGATCTGCAAAAATTGATCTACGATTTAAGGCCAAGGTATGGGATTTCAAGAGTTGATTGCTTTTTGAATTTTTTTAGTGCGTGTTATACAATGTTGTTCTTTGTTGAGAGCGCAAATAATTGTATTGACCAGCGATCTGGGCCTTAGTTCCCGAGCGTTACTTGGTATAATGCGAGTGGTGTTTCTTTTGTACAGTTAAAAATCACAACGCTTAGTAAGTTCAAAATATTAATGTCATACATCAACATGGATCGAAGGCATTTTATCTAGCATCAGATAACTGGATCAGAGAATATCTGAAGCCTGAAAGTACTGTTGATGTGTCAATAAAACGTAATATATGAGTGCTACCATACTTATTGTTTTTCCTTAAGTAGAGACTTAGCGGGCTCATAACTGCCATCTAACTGGAACAAGCTTAGGAGAAACAGTTGGAACTACGCTGAAAGGGACAAATCCCTATCTCTAAACCCTTGATCACGATTTTTGTTGACATCCCGGTGCGATTCATTCAATTATAAATGACGATAAGCATCCGTTACAAAATTGCCTCGTCCGCTGCCTCTCAGAATGTTAAGCCACCAGAGACCTGTTCATACATATCAACGCCAGAACTGATAGGTTGAAACCCTCAGTGACTCCGTTCATCGCCCACACGATGTACCATCAAAGATCAGCTTGCACAACTTCTGGAAGAACTTTCAGGTTTTTTCGTTCTTGTTTGTTGCTATTGTTTTAGTTCCCCATATCTGATAGGCGCGGTGGGACTATCTGTTGCATCACAAGCCAATTAACCTGATTGATTGACAGTAGTTGTTCTAGATATGAGCATTTGTATAATGAATACGCGGCAAGGTAGTGATGAATGTCGATAGGCCGTTTGTACAGAAATATTCCAGTAACTTGACGTCGTCCAGAATCACGATTCATTCATGGTAGTAGCATTTTTCCTGACCATGTCTTTCCGTCTCTGGCTATCGGTTGAACTACATGTGATCTAAAATTCCCATCAGCAGAATGTATTCCCCGTCAACTTACTTTGAAGACTGCCTCGATTTAGAATGAAGAAACTTGTCTGAACTTTGCTTTTCACAATACACAGAAAGGAATTAGTAAGTTTCACAGTGAAAAAGACTCCTGTAATACAGGAAATCAGCTAGTTGTAATATCGTACTTTAGGACATTCTAAAGTCCGTAATTGCCATTTGTCTTCTTTCTTAAGATTTAAAGGCTTTAGCAGGTTCAACTACCCAACACAACTACAACATTTCCATGATCAGCTGCTACTGGCAAATTTTCTGATTCATGCTCTTCGAAGTCGGTTTTAAATTTTACCTGTCATTCATGCGAAAGAAAACATACATATGAAAATTTACTATATAAGATTACAACGATATATACATTACTCTCGCGCGAACAAAACAAAAACCAAATATTCCATAAGACATTAAACCATGACATCAAACACACTGATCCCATTGACGGTGAAAGTCAGTGGATCGCTGACGATTCCTTTCAGGCATTCGCTTATTTCTCTTTTAAAAAATGCCATATTTTGTGACAGTCTAAAGTAAACAACAGCAATTAAATTTCTGTATTAAGACTGATTCATCTGGCAAATTTGCTCTATCTTACTTATGTAGAGATACCTATATCATACATGTATGGTACCTACTATAGTTCTTACTGCAACAACGGAAACACGATGAATATACGGCATCACGTCCGTTACTATTAGTTTGTATTAGTTAATTAACATAAAAAATAGCATACCGGTCAAAATTTTTAACCGTCAAATTCCGTTCAATGCCGTCCATGAGTCCATCGAAGGAATGCATTAAGGCAGCCTGTTTGTCGGCGGGAAAGTTTCTGATCATCTGCATCTTGCACTGATTGAAGTAGCTTTCCTGGAGAAAGATGAGTCCAAGCAGGGGCCGAGTCATCGCCCACTGACAACGACATTCGTCAAATATGATGATATTCAGAATGGTGGAGAGCAGCTGAAATAAAATTCAAAATCGATTAAATGGATGGAGTTAAATTCGATTTAAACTGCTAACATGTGAAACATTTGAACAGCAGTAAACAGGAAAGATCAGGGTCTCCTTTAGAAGAAAGTATCAATTTTCGATGAATAATTCATGCGACCAAACTTTAAAATTTCAGGTGAGAAAATGGGTAACTACGGATTTACAAGCACCATCAATTGATAGGGTTATCAGTAATACTCAGTTAAGGATTTAATTTTAAAAGAAGAACTTTTCATCACTATTCAGTACTATCCATAGGAATCCAGCAACAGCTTCAGACTCATTATGACCTTCTAGAACAAATGTTTTCCATTATAAATATGATAAATGAATTTTCTACAACGGATTGTCGTGAATAGCTGATACGAAGTTTGAAATGGTCGGCCAACGAAGTGATGCCTGCAATATTGCAAGATATAGGCAGGAGATAAATCACATCTTCAAGACAAATATTTTCCAAAGAAATGCATTTAGGCACTACAATCAAGGAAGGCAGGACTGAAAGGGGAAGCGTTCGCCCTGCATTCCAGAAGGGAGCATAGCTATCGACTGAATATTTGCCATCTGGTCAGAAAACCACCCTGTTCGGTTCAAAATAATAAGTGATTGGACTATTCGGTGATCACAGAAGTGATCTGCGTATAACTAAGTGTATATAAAATATCTACCTGCCGTAAGATTTCTGAGTTCACCTGAAGGACGTGCATACAGTTGTCATTTTCAGGTGGGACGCCGGCGTGAACCACTCGCGCCTTGCCGATCCGGCAGAAGCGCCTGTACAGGTAGTGGACGATGTTGTCTAGGGTTGAACAGCAACAACTGCACACAACGGC